ACCTCCCGCCGCGCCCCGCGCGTCCCGCTCGCCCCCCGAAGGCCGCGCCACTCGCTTCTGAAAAATAATCACGATTTTCGGACGGAACGATTTTTTTTCTTCTTTTCTTCACCACGTACACTGAGACTTCATTGTTTTAATGTTTGTAGGTGAAGGTGTTATCCAATTATTTCTGCGGTGATTTGAAATGTGGCTCGCACGTGTTGGGCTAGTCTACAACATCACCTACTATGTACGCATGTATTGTATAGGTACTTATTCGTATATTCGGTGCTCAGTTACGTAGATCACGTAAGCACGAATGATTAATTCGTAGAATAATGAACGTAGGTACAACATTGTCAGATGAAATTAATTGAAAGCTTCACAAGTTTCACTTTCATTTGTTTTGTGTTATTTCTTAATCATTGGTAGTCACAATGCAACGTTATTCGAGTCTTATATCTAACAATTTTATGCAAAGAGATTATGACGCACTATTACCTACATATAATAATATAATCGATTTAAGCAAAATAGTCGCGTATGCCTAGGTTACTTCTTTGAACATAAGTAATATTTTCAGATATAAAACCTGTGACGAAACGTAATGTAAGTATCTATTGAATTTTTGAAGTGAATTATATTTTCAGCGCAGTTTTTGTTATTGCCTAATTCATGTTACAAAACAAGAAGCTATGCGTGTATAAAATTAGATGAGACAACCCTAGTGAAGGGATCTACGAAAAATCATCATGGTGGTCTAAAAGAAGCAGATTACAACAAAACTCTGCATCTCAATTAAAACAAAATCGATTAGCAACAAAACGATTGTTTCGCGTCCTGTAAGTCGGTACGAGTCGTAGAACAGAACAAGTCGCGAGTGTCATAGAGGCCTATGGAATAGCACGCGATGCCAACAGGTGGCTTGAATTTTTACGATACATAATTAAGTAGCACCGCACGAGCTAAGGACGTAGTGACACCAGTAATGACTGGGTGGCAACCATGTGACAATCATGTCTGTCACTGTCAAGCAATCATATAACAATCGGCAGCTCAAGAAACTCTTGACTAGTTTTTTTTTATTTATTCAATTGCGTTTTAGTGCTTATTTGTTTCTATTTCTATTTTAATTAAGTATTTGATCGTAAAGATCGTAAGTACAGTACTTATATCGTAAAGATGTAAGCATCATATAATTTACTCTTATAAAGCTGATATATTATACGTACTATCGCAGCTGAACTTTTATTTTATTTCGAGCGATCAATGAAAAAGCACACGACAGACTGTAACCATACAGATGGGATGGCGAACATCTGTCAAAATACATATTAAAAGTAAATCAAGGTTATTTTATAGTAATGGCGATCTTCAATGAGGAACAATATTCAATAATTCCGCCTATAAATACAATAAAGCGCCGAATATGGCGCCAGAATTGCTCGCGTCGCGGCGTGCGTGCACGCATGTTTACAAGCGCCCGCGCTATATATAGACAGTGCCGGCTATTTGTAGTGTCTCTGATTCATTGCGTTAATTAGCCTTATTTCGGACAACGAGGGGTTACGCCGAATAGTTTAAATTTAACAACTCAACTCGAGTTTTTAATAACTACCTACTAGTTTTATTGTTTAGTTCGAACGCAATTATCCACTGGTGTTTATAAGACTCGTAATCTAAAGTCAAGATACCAAACTACTGAACTATATTAATTCATATTCAAAAATTTAATAGCTGGAGCTCCATATATACCATTCAGTAAAGTAATAAACGGTGCTCTTATAGTACAGTATACAATTATGAATTCGTCCGTATGATAAACATTGAACTTCACGATGATGATCACGACGTTAGGCTATTGCCCTCAGGCTATTTCAGTTCTTGTCTAGTGAGTGTTTACTTTGGCACTACGACTTGCGATGGGCACACGAACATACCTCCAAAAAAGTTTCGTGACTAAGAGTACTTCCAAAGAACTCTCTATCCCATTTTTGGTATTGCGACGTAAAAATCAGCAACGGAAACTTTATTTACAGCAAGTATGACGAAACGATCCATTCAAATTAGAAACCATGAGCAGAATCTCATCATAGACGCAATATTAGAAAGATGGGATAGATAAAGCAGAAGAGAATTAAACATTTCATCAAGGTCCCTTACATCCTAGTCCATAAAAACAATGACAGATAAGTTTTGAATGTCGAACGAGGTGTTTTATAGTGTCACCTTCTCTGGCAGCGTGGTGCCGCGCGGGCTGCAGCCGCGTCTGTTCCTTCAGATCCGTGTCTATTCCAGCCGGCCCCGCCCGAGGTTATTTAAATATACCGTGACGTATTAACGTCAGAACTACACCACTAATATGTTTCCTTGATCCCCATCCGGCTGTGCCCTTCCGCGTATAAAAACCCGCTGTAGTTTATTGACAAGCGCACACTATAAATAACTTACTTTGTTTTATGTTTCGCGTACGTTACGGAGTAAAGGTTGTGTTATTTGTTAGCTACTTATTATTTTTATTTTCGTATCTATTTACAAATTTAACTGTTTTAAAGTACATGGTATAAATTATACGTATCTACGTACTATGGTAAATATAGCAACTGCGTTACCTTTTTCCGTTCGTCTCGATATATAAAAATTAAAAGTTTACATGGTAACAGTTCGTCTGATTTAAAGTGCATGATGTAGGTATTAAAAGTTTGGTTCCATTATACGGGTAATAGTTTACCTATTGTTTCCATATTAAATCATTTTGTGTATATGGCCTCTTTTCTATACATATCTCGTGCGTTTATTTCATTATTTTCCTTTTCCCATTACAATATCTAAAGGAAATAATTTATCTTTCCAAGACGGTTAAAATTATGATAATAAAATACTATAAATCCTATTTAGCTATGCCCTAAATGAGTGTACAACAAAATTAATAATATAATCTATAAGAGTCGTAGCACTTCGTAGAGCCTAACACATACACGGAAAACACTATAATGGAATGTGTAAAAACGCACGCTGTATCCCATACAACCTACGCGATACTTCTAAACGTTTAGGTTACATCATAACGGTATCTGAGAAAATCGGTTACCAAAGGGAAATCTAGACGTAATCACTATAATTAGATTTTGTTATAAAAATATACAATTTCCTTACAAGGACGTACTTGAAGTTGGTAGCAATTTTATCTTAATTACATTACTCGTGTAAGTATGTATGCGAGACGTAACGATATAGTAGCAAAAGCCCAAACATCAAAAACGTAAAGCAAGCAAAGTGTAAGAGGTTATCCAACATTCGGCTACTGCCGACGACAATATAAATTGGCAACATCAGTGTCTCCAGTGGGATGGCGGCGAGATGCGAGCATGCGCGCCCCTATCGATCCATGCTTCGAGATGACTTTACGAGAGGCCCGCGCTCGAGCGCCCCAGCCGTGCATGTCCCGACATTACCGACTATTTTCTCTATGGACGGCGCCACTAGTCATACAAACTCCTTTTTTTACTTTTATTCTATTTTTAAATTACGTAAAAAATACACGATAGAGGTTTCATGCTGACGTCATTGCCTACAAACGAATTCTTTATTTAAAAATATTTAGTTTTAAACTGTTATGTGAATATAAAAATAAATCTTAGCTATTATTTAAAGGTAGCGAATTCATCATAAATTACATTGAAGAGGGAGAACGATTAGAAAGCAATACATTACTGATATCTTGGCAGGCACTTCAAACCTCTTGCGTTCGTAACTAGCTACTAGCTCGTGTATCGTAGTTTCATGGTAATCACAATACGCTGTGAGATTAACTAGCATTTGACCTAATTCAATTAGTGTCGAGATTGGAATCATTGCTTTGGATTGCATTAAATATCCCTCGATTTTACTGTAAATTAATTTACATTCTGAACACTTCTTTTTAGAAAGATGCTCTCATCTTAATTACTCAAATATTAGGTATGCAATAGCATTAAAAACGTAGAATTCCTTTTCGTACTATCGACTCCATGTTGGGTTTCTTTGGCTAAATTCAGGAAACATCAATGTATAAAATAAATATGATGCTATTATCTAATTCAGATTAATCTATTTATATTAATCCTAAAAAATGACTACAAAGGATAGGACCAACGAAACTTCTATTTATCCATTTGTAAACACGTATTTTAATCTATGGTTGGCTAATGCCAATGACAAAAGTTAGCAAAATAGTCTCTGTGCATATAAGAATTGCATATAGCCCTATGAAAGTATGAAAGCGGGTCCGTGTGCGGCTCAGGTCCCCACGGTACCATGTGGCATGTCTGAACTTGATCAGGGACGATGCATCGCGTGCTGTCTAATGTAATGCGGTCGAACCACTTCATTACCTCGACACTATTAGCTTATTGAATACCTTCATGTATACGACTGATATTTGTTCCATTACCTAAGCTCCGAGGTACAATATTCTATCTAGTTTATTAATTTCATCTATTGGTTTTATGAGTATTATTTTATGATTCAATTTAGTTATGGAGTAATGATGATTATGATTTGGTCTTAATAGATTAAAAAAGGTCAAATGGAAACTACTCAGGAGTACGTGCGTAGGATGTAACTTTGTTAAACTTAGTGCTACGTACTACGATTATCGTAGTAGACCTAAAAATTATAAGATCGAAAATGAAAATGAGATGCTCAGTGTGCATATGATACATGTAGAATACACCACGGATACAGATATACCGGTGCTAAGTTACCCTGATATACTGCCATGCCATAGAAACTCCAAACAAAAATTTTTTTTCATCACAAAATGAATTGGCATCCCCTACACATTCGAGGTAAATTAATTCGAAGGGAATCACCCGATGCTCTTCGCACAGTAACACCGAAGTCGCTAATGGTCACCCATCCAATTTATTACAGCACTAATCGTAATTTACGACATGGAACTAGCGCGGGGACATTATCACCTTCCGCTTAGGGAGCGTGTATGACGTCATCTGACATTACAACCTCTCTGTTTACAGTCTGCAACTTCATAGTGCACGAGCGATGCGTGGGGCAAGTGGTGACGCCGTGCTGCGGGGTGGCGCCGAGCCTCATCAAGGTAATATACTCTTTATTTTGTATATTACATGACACATATTTACCACTACATTGCAGCCACAAGTCCCTTGTATCAATATGAACAGATAGCTAATTGTTTATCATTCCCACAGAACCCAGTGGCTCACTGCTGGTCAGAGCCCACACACCACAAACGCAAGTTTTGTACGGTGTGCCGGAAGCGGCTCGATGAATTACCAGCTCTACATTGCATGAGTGAGTACTCCTACACTCGATTACTAACTCGTCTCTTTCATTTTGAGTAATTTTAACGTTCCTTTTTATGATAGGTGACACGTTGAGATGCTGGTGTTACGAGTAAATATTATGACTTTTTGATTTGTAGAAACGCTACTTGTGATGATGTACTATGGTTTGTGTACTGCTAAGACAACAGCACTCGTGTTTGTTTGGCTATTTAGCGTCACATGATTTAAATTCCGACAAACGTAGGCTCAACCGTTATACTCGATGCAACACAGCTATACGTATGTTTTGCTTAGCTTGTAAGTGCAGTCAGTGTAGTGACGCGTGTGTTATCGTGCAGTATGCGAGTACTACGTGCATGGAGAATGCGTAGACTTCGCGGCAGCCGACTGCAAGGAGAACGCGACCTACTGCGCGGGCAGCGAGCCGCGCCACGTGCATCACTGGCGCGAGGGCAACCTGCCTGCGAACAGCAAATGCTCCGCGTGCCGGCGGGCCTGCTGGTCCGCCGAGTGCCTCACGGGCTACCGCTGCGAGTGGTGCGGCAGTACGGTGCGTATCTTCATTATTTAGCCCACACAGTACTTGTAGTTTGTGCACTCCTTACATCGTTACTGAACGCGAGCTCGTCCCACAGTGCCACGCAGGATGTCGCGCCCTCATACAGGACGATTGCAACTTTGGGATGCTGCAGCCGATCTTCTTACCACCGTCGGCGGTGTCTATCCCGCGCACGGAGGTGCCTATGGAAGCCATCATCGGCGTGCACGTGCGGCCGCCGCCGTCTCAGCGGGACTTCGGCTGCCGTAAGTGTCCCACAAACAGTGGCCCCGGCAAACACCGCTTCCCGCCACGTACATGTGCCACGCAATTCGCAGCGAGCTTCCTTAGTATAGGCCTCGCTTGTAAAGTAGTCGGAAGGTTCGCGCTCAGCTGGTCACAGGCACACACGGTCACAGATCTGCTGCTTCAAGATGCAGAGGATCAACACAGGAACTTTTTGCCAAACTATTTTTTGTTATGACTCGCTTTGCTAATGAATTCTTTATCTTACATTGGGTTTGGAATCATAGCAATAATTTTTCCAAGTTACACTTCTTTTGGCTTGACTCCCTCAGTACACTTTTACCTTGGTCTTTCGACTGTGCACTCGGTTCGAAGTACGTGAGTGAAGGGGTGAGATGATCGTGCGTGGCTGGTCGGCGGCGGCACAGTCGCGGTAGGCGGTGTAGGTCGGACGCGACTCGGCGAATCGCTTGGCACATGCGTTGAGCGGCGTGGCGTGAGCGTGTGTGTTGGGGCAGCGCGCGCTGGCGGATGGGCGCCGGCGCGGCTGGTGACGCTGGCGCGGCGCCTGCTGCCCGCCGCCTGCAGCCCGCACGGTGGCGCGTCGCCCCCCTACTCCAGAGGTAACCCGCCCGCGCCCAGCCCGCGCCCCCACGACCTCCACGCCCCGCGTCTAGCGCACCCGCACCGGCTCCCGCAGCTGTACCAACCAGGGACCGTACCAGCAGCACCTGGCGCTCCGCACCGCTCGTCGGATACGATCACTTGCTCGAGACGCTTGTAGTTTCATTTTTCAGAAACCTGTAGAGTAACACGGTTGCCTGGTCGGTACATCTCCATGCATGTTGCTTGACTGAACTCTTACTGCAGTTAAGTCAAGTGAAACGTAAAGGCTTTCACTGTCAGCTTACACCTTCCTTCTAGATGCTCTACAAACTGTATAATGTATATATGTATAAAACACTAACTCTACCCTATTCCACACAAGGATGTTTACGGATCAACAATAATACAATTTAACGAATTAAAACATGTTCACCGATCTACAGAACATTTGTAACGAACAACAAGTATCACCGTACACATTCTTGTCCCACACTTGAAGCTGTCTCTCCTTCTTTCTTGGTTTCTGTGTGTGCATGAGGCGACTGCTTTATAACCGAGTAACACACATACTGCGCACCTGCGGCACTCTGTACCTCACTACTCGATGCCGTCACACGACTCTCTATACCTTCCCTGTTCATGAAACTACAAGACCTCAATAAAAATCGATCAAGTATTTTCCTATTTCCAATGTACTTAGTAATACCATGAAGGCAGATATATGCCCGAAGGGCTTGCCCGTATTACATTAAAAAGGCATAACGTTTAAGTAGACGCCATTACTGGATGCACTATGAACATGAACAATTGTGCTTCCAAAATAAACATATTATTATAAAATCTTTGGAAGAATAAAACGTTACAAGGAAATAAAAAACGGCGACTGAATCTTACCTACTCATTTCTATTCTGTAAGTGAATGCTCCCTTGGCAATATCTCCACACGGCTTGTATTTCCACAATAGTGTACATCTTTAGCTGACCTGCCCCGGCGGCCGGCACTAGTCTTGTAGTTGAGTGAAGCCCTGGTTATCCGTGCCCACTCCCTCACATAGCTCAGGGCGGTCAGTCCAAGAATACTCATGATGCAGTATTCCAACGGCACGAAGGTAACAGACGGATATCGCGATATTAACGACATACATTGTGTGTATTTATTTATGCTTAAGTGTCCAACGCTGCTTGGTGTAAGATGTCATTATTAAAACCACGTTCACAATAAAAATGCAGTTGTTTTAAAACTCTATTTTCTATCTATCCTATAGGCAAAGATGGCCGATTTACTTTTAATAATGACATCATGAAGTTAATGTATGTTTTTAAAAGTTGTATGATGGTCAGTTTTTCCTACATTTTAAATTTAAAAACGAGAATAGATTTATACTGGAGCTACCAAGAAAACTACCTTTTGCATTTTGAGATACATCAATCAACATATAGGAACGCGACGCCGACGCGTCATACAACTTAATGTTAGTAGATAAAATAATGACTATTACATACATCGAGATGTAAGTTAAATTAAACATAATTTTTCACTGAATAATGATAGATTTAAATATATTTAAGTACTGTCTCGATGTATGTATAACATAAATGAACATATAATAATAAACCGATAACATAAATATAAACTATGATAACTCTTTGGCTGCGATGTTTAGCTTACTTAGGAGCGCTGTGTCCTGGACTTTATACAATCCCGAAAACCGCTTCGATACAAATAAATAATAAAACATTAAATATAAAATATGACTAAACTAGAAAGTACTGGCAGTCCCTTATTATGAAGTTGAGACTGGCGGTCTATGCTTCATTTTACGGGCTGTACCTATACAAAGTTTCTTGTATCCCACGAGAAGCTACAAGTTTCCTCCTTATGCATATTTATAATTCGATGGCGACGGGGGTGTGTATGTGAGCGATATGGGTGTTGCAGCTCGCAGTGTCAGCGAGGAGTTCAGTTCCGGCTGCGAGGGCCGTTCGGGCTCCGGCGGCGGCTCCACGGGCGCTCCCGCCGACCAGGACCACCGCCCGGACCACAAACAGCATCGGGACAGGACCCCGGATGATCGAGATGAAGGTAATTTTTCTAAATTAAAGTATGTATATCCTGTACAAAGCCTCTCACAGTCAAAATTTCTTTGGAGATCAAATTAGCAATTTGGGAGTCATATTCTTAGCGTCGATTTGGCTCTAAGTGAAACTAGGTATTGCTCGTCTTAATATGTCTTTTATAAACACTTCTCTCATAGAAAATAAATGAGCATTGATTTTCAACACATGTACTTATTGCGAGGATTAGCGACTAATAAAGCAAAGTTAGAAAATCCTACATTATATTTATGTATTTTTGGCAACAGAAGTGGTGAAGGTGTACGACGGCGAGGCAGCTTGGTCTCGGCGGCTTTACCGGCCTGTAGTAGTGGGTCGTAACTGGAATGAGCGCGAGTTGGTCGCAGCGGCGCTACGTGCCTTCCACGTGGCGCGCGACCCCGACCTGTTCGATCTCACCGACGCACTGGCCGGTGACGAGCCCCCGCTCAGGGACCCCACGCCCCTCGCGCATGTTACACGCCTTCCCAACAAGAGACCGGCACTCTTCTTACGATTCAAGTGAGTACAAACTGTGCAAGCCACGATACACAAGCGATATAACAAAAAAGCAGAAAAAGAAAGACCTCTCTGAGCAACATCAGAGGTTTCCGGTTTCGAGAATAGTATAGTGCAAAAATACAAAAAAACATAAGTTTTCCTGCATAATTTAATAGGCATGCAGGATTACAATCTGAATAGTTTTGTTACATTTTTATACCAATTTCTGAGAACACGTCTTGTTTTTATGAGTTCAGTGTTCTAGTAATATTTCTAAGAAGTTTCAACTTTTCTGAGAAAGAATCGTGAGTTTATGTTTGTGAATGTTTCGGTTTTCCTGAATGGTTGGTCGGTTGTGTGCAGAGAACCAGAGAGTGGTGGTGGAGAGGTACGAGTGTACCCGGGGCGGGTAGCGGGCGCTGGCGAGACGTTTGTGACGGTCGGCATCACCGGCGACGACGCCGTGGCCGACCTGATGGCCGCCGCGCTCGAACGGTTTGGACTCGACCCCGCGCGGGCCGTGCATGACTATCGCTGCTCAGAGATATTGCTAGACCGAGGAGGTAAGTGTCTCAGAAGATTTGACCTTATAAAAGTTTGTGTCCCCATATTATCATAATGGAATGAAATACTTGTGATCAAAGAGTAGTTTCAACTTGTCAACTTCTTGATACTTCAAAAATAGAAGATAAGAAGTGTAGTGTTAGTGTGTGGGCTCGGTAATCACACGTAGCTTGCAACCGTTGGCCCAGTGTCGGAGCGCGTGCTGGAGGAGGACGAGCGGCCGTGGCGCATCGTGGTGCGGCTGGCGCGCGAGTCGGTGCGCCGCATGGAGCTGGCGCGCTTCTACCTGCAGCCGCGCCGCGACCCGCACGGGCCCACGCTCGCGCTCTTCGTCGCCTCCTTACCGCCCGGCCTCTCCGAGAGGAACTACGAGAACATCTTGGTCGAGTTCCTGGGTGCCGGTCAGTATAAAACATCTTTCCCACTGTAATGTCATGATAATTCGTCTTCTTTTTACTTTTACCTCAAGTTACTTATGAGCCACAATCACTATCTTCTTCTGCCATTCTCTCTTACCTTTCTTTCGTTCAATATTGATTCAAAGTCAGACATTAATGTTGGAACTCAACTGGGAGAAGTAATTGGACATGAACGTTGCAGATAACAAGTTCACCTCGATCGGCCCGATTTACTACGAGTACGGGTCGATGGTGATCACGTATGAGGACGCGAGCAAAGCGGTGCGCGCGCTTTATGCGCTCAGAGAGGCCAAATATGAAGATAAGCATTTATTGGGTAAGTCACACTTACAACATAGCAATTTTACACATAAAGACATCTTCAATTATATTTTACACAATTAAGAAAACTCAAACCTCTATAACTGAGTAAGACATTGTTAAAATATGAGTGTAATGTTTCCACAGTGATGTTGTTGCCGAGCATCGAGCCTTCGATGGTGCCGGCGGGCGTGAAGCCTCTGCTGGTGTTCGTTAACGTTAAGTCTGGAGGCTGTCAAGGCCTCGAGCTCATTTCTTCCTTCCGCAAACTCCTAAACCCCTACCAGGTGTTTGACCTTGAAAATGGAGGTCCGCTGCCTGGGTAAGTGACATTCAACAATTCTTTACACCATAGTCATGTTCTAGTCAATATCAACAAAATGCAATCCAATATCTATCTAGATTACATTTCTGTATCTAGGACATGAAAACCACAAGGACTACAAACATGATATATTTATGTGCAGATTGTACGTGTTTCGTCACATTCCCAACTACAAGATCCTAGTTTGCGGTGGCGATGGCACGATCGGCTGGGTGCTGCAGTGTCTCGACAACGTCGGCCAGGACTCGCAGTGCTCCAACCCGCCTTGTGCCATCGTGCCGCTTGGCACTGGTAAGAATCTCATCAAAAGCTTTGCAAATCTTGTTGGAAATTGTAATCTCGGCATTCTCTAGTAAAAATTATAATACGACCTGCACAATTATAATTTCAAAACACGAACACAGAGAGTAAGGTAGGTAGCCATGCTTTATTTGAACTAATAAAAATAACCGTTAGCCAAACTTCGTAGACACCTCCACACATAAAAGTGTTCACAAAATTTTCAGGCAACGACTTGGCTCGCACCCTCCGCTGGGGCTCCGGCTACACTGGTTGCGAGGACCCTCTGTCGTTGCTGCGTGACGTCATAGATGCCGAGGAGATCCGCCTCGACCGCTGGACTGTTGTCTTCCACCCCGAGGATAAGCAGGACGAGCCTAAGGAGCTCTCCAAGCAACTACCTGGTTAGTACATAGTTCCCTTGCAGCAATGATGACCAATGTTTCATTGTGATTCATTCCCATCAGTTTTTTCAAGACTTTGGGTCATTAACTATAAATCATTTTCGTAACGTTTAATCTGCTACATCATCAGCTTTTTAGACCAAATCTTTATCACCTCAAAATTAGTATTGCATAAATTCCAAAAACTTCAGAATAAAATCAATTTAGGGTCCATTGTTTAGTATGCCATATCATATCATAATAGTGTGTGTGACTACATTTGTGTGATTCCGCAGCGTCTGTGACCACAGGATCACAGAGCGAGGACAACTCGCAGATCCTCGTGATGAACAACTACTTCGGCATCGGGATAGACGCGGACCTCTGCTTAGATTTCCATAATGCTCGTGAAGAGAATCCTAATAAGTTTAATAGCAGGTAAGTGCCACATACCTACTTTCTAAGAGTTTATTAACAGTCTTCGATTCTTCCATAATTATCGACATTTAGGGTCAAGATGCTTCATAACAATGTGCGCAAAAAGTGCGCAAAAAATCAGATCAGGACATAATGAATCTACATCAACAATTCATTGAAATCAAATAAACTTTTAGCGACATTCCGTATTCACCGTGCTATGTATGCTTTAGGCTCAGAAACAAAGGTGTGTACGTGAAGATGGGACTCCGGAAGATGGTGGGGCGCAAGATGTGCAAAGACTTGCACAAAGCCATCCGTCTGGAGGTGGACGGCAAGCTAGTCGAACTGCCACAGCTAGAGGGCATCATCATTTTAAATATACTCAGGTATATACTTACTCTAACCTATGTTGACTTTATTTATCAGCTTTGAGCATACACTGATATTGGAAGAAAACTGCAGTTCACGCAACAGGAAAAACAACGGCTGATATATTTTTGGCGTTAAATAAAGTCAAAATCAGATCATTTAAAGTACACAAAATCCTTTCATCTGTTTTCGTAATATGTCGACAGATAGATAGATACATAGATACGTCAAACTTATAGCTTATAACATTTTGCGTAAGTGACTTAACAAGAAAAAGTGACTAATAAATCTGACCTGTAATTTCCAGCTGGGGTTCAGGTGCCAATCCATGGGGCCCGGAGAAAGACGATCAGTTCAGCAAGCCCAACCACTGGGATGGCATGCTGGAGATCGTGGGCGTCACCGGCGTCGTACACCTGGGACAGATCCAGTCTGGCTTGCGAGGCGCCATGCGGATAGCGCAGGTACTACCCTAAGCAAAGAGATACTTTGTAGAATATGTAAATGTATACAATTAAGAGATTATAGCAATTTATTACCATGCAAGTCCACGCAAAGATGTCTTAAAGGCCAAAAATCAATGGCAGCACGGGTGTTCCCGAATCTTCTTTTATGCAAAGCCAATGAATAGAAGTCTTAAATATCTAATAGCAACGACAGTAACAGTCTGTCTGTTAGGAAACAGTCAACCTATCTTATGTGGTTGATCTAGCAGTTCAGCGCATTGGTTTCTTACCTCATCCACTATTCCAGGGTGGCCACATCAAAATCAACCTTAAGAGCGAGATCCCCGTGCAGGTGGACGGCGAGCCGTGGGTGGCGGCGCCTTCCGAGGTGGTGGTGCTCAAGTCTGCGCTCAAGGTAACTACAGCCACCACGTACCTACTCCTACAGTAGACAACGAGGGTTGAGGCGTCACTCACTGTGAACAAACCATGCTAACTATTTCTATGAGAGTCCATTTCAAGGTCGACGTGTTGAGCCTCATCAGCTCAGTGGAAGTTCCAGAATGTAAGCAATCTCCTATTTATTTACAAGCATCCTATACACAGTACGGCCACGTGTCCTACTGCTCAACTCTCGTTGGACATAAGCTCCAATCAGTGTTTGCATGTGCTCGCTTGCCTGGGCCCGCAAAGGGCTCAAATTTTGAAGCTTACTTAAACATTTTAATTATTCTTAAATTTTATTCAAATTAAAAGTTTTACTTGGTCAACTGAAGGCTCGGTCTAGGTTTACATTCATCTCAAGTGTTGTTCTATACATGATAAATTCAATTTTGCTGAAATTGGTCTTGTACTAGACTTTCGAATTGAGTAACGACCGAGCACAGATGATAAAGCGAAGCTTTGTATTATAAGACCTACCGCCCCGAGTCACGTATCGCCCGAGCACTCAAACTCCACTCAGCACCGATGTTACACTAGTTATACAGAGCGGCGACGTGGCCCCCGCGCCACGTCGCCGCTCCAGCCCGCGCCCGCCTCCGGTCGGCGCCGTACGTACACCTGACCGCAGACATACCGCAGCAACATCGGCACGCGCGGGTAATATCTGGGCACTCGTACTTCGGACCTACCGCTTTGTACATACGTTAGCGAGGCACGGCTGTAGTAGCACGGGTCAGGTGTACGTAGCGGGGGCGGGGCGGGGCGGTGCGGGCGGCGGGCGGCGCGTGACGTGCGTGTGCTGCAGGCGACCATGCTGAAGAAAACCAAGCGCGGGTCCGCGGGCGCGTCGTCGGCGGCGGGCACCTGACCGCTCGCGCCCCGCCCCGCCGCTGCCAGTCGCGCCCCGTCCGCAGGCCACCATGCTGAAGAAGCGCGGCAAAGTGCGGCGCCGCAACACGGAGCCCAGCATGCCGCGCTCGCCGGAGCGGCCCGAGCGGCCCGAGCGGCCCGAGCGGCCCGAGCGCGCCGAGCTGCGCGAGCGGCCCGAGCGGGCCGAGCGGGCCGCCGACTCCTGAATCTGGCTGAGCGAGCGCCTGATCTAACGCGCCCGCCCGCCCGGGGCTCAGGGCGGGCGCGCGCGGGCGCTCGCTGCGCCGCGTGGCTGGCCGTCACGCGGGTCGCTGTCCGCCGCACCTCTCGTGTATATAAATTTAAAATCAAAATATATAAACATAAATATAAAAAGAATAAAAATAATAGGTGATAGAACAGTTGTTTTATTTAGAAAAAAATATTTCACATAATATATATGCAAAAAGAAATAATGTACATTAAATGAATTTAATGAAGACGTATAACATTATAACGTTTTTTCTTTCTATCCTCCGGTGTTCACCCTGATACTGATACCTCGCAACCAACACTGCTTCTCTGTGCGTCCACGTACACACTGGTGCTCGACCTGTTTAGGTTCATAGATTCTGAAATACTCTGAGAGTTCACAAACAATATGCACCGTAATACTTTGTAAAATGTAGATCTGATGGCCAAGGACGAACAAAGATAACATGGAAGCCAAAAAATTAAATACATATAATGCAATTAAATACGGACGCTATTCCAAAAATTCTTGGGCTGTGTGTACCTACAGGAGAGGACTTTGCTCAATAGTGAGTTACAGGCAGTAAGTAATTCATGGCAAGCAAGACTTACTCAATACATAATAAAAGTATGAAGACTAGGGGGATTAGAAAACATATGTTAGAAACGATAAATCGACATAAATTATAAGTTTTGAGCTATTCCTCTTACAAAGTTAAAGCACAACTTAAGACAAGTATTGAAATTAAAGGTAATTTTTCTACCTTCTTCCTATCGTCACGCAACAAACACGTGGGATGTAAGACATACCCCATAATAAATAGTGCATATCGAGGTTTGGAAGATCAGAATGAAATGATCGTTATATCTCACCAAACTATTTTATTTTGTTTGTATAGACTAGTTTGAGTGGCTCAGAATCATGAATATTATTCGCCGACTGCCTCTTTCTAAAGATCAATGTGCAATATTTGTCGTGTCCCTTCGTCCAGCATACTCACCATGGAATCCTGATATTTCATGAATGTCAAAAAACTGTTCTGAAATAGTGCTAAATAGTGCCCAAAGGAAAAAAATAGTGCTCTTGTACTTGCGAAGTTATAGCCATAGTTCGATGAGTATGCTGGACGAAGGTTTCGCCCAGCATACTCACCTCCGTCCGGAGAATCTGTATACGCTTCAAACATAATTCATACTTCAAAAAATAGTTCCCAAATAGTGCCAAACGGTGCCCAAAAAGAAAAAACAGTGCTCGAATAACTTCGGAGTTATAGGCTTCGTTCAGTGAGTATGCTGGGCGTAGGTTCTACGCCCAGCATACTCACCTCAGTGCGCGAATATCGAACGAGCTATAGGTACAATTTACGTCTCAAAAAATTGTGCTTGAAATAGTGCCCAATATCAGTCCAATTTTTGCTTGACTTTTGAC